TGAAGGAAGTGGATGTGAAGGCTAAAGGGCGGTGGACATCGATGGGCATGTATCTGTTGTCGGTCCCTTAGGACGGGGCGACCTTTGAACAAAGACCCTGGGTATGAGGTTCGGAATATGCGTCACATAAGGTTATCAACATTCAAATAAACTCTTTAGCGTTGTCATGCGAAACAGGTTAACAGCTCCTTCCGCCAAAGACGATGGAAGTTCTGTTGATTCGTGAATTTGCAGCATGATATGAACCTGAAAACTGGATGAAGGCAACATTCAGACGACTTTACTTGGTTGATGGCTCGCACTCATGGCTCATGGCGATTCTCGGGTTGTTGTGAGCGGAGGAATCATACTGAACAAGTTTCGAAGATTCTTGGAGCGACTGTCTCAAGAAATCGAGGAAGACCAGTTACAAGGCTTGAAATTTATACTGCAGGGATCCATCCCGTCAGGACATCTGGAGAAGTGTAGCAAACCAAGAGATTTGTTTTCAAAAATGTTACAACAGGGTCTCTTGGGAGAGGACAACTTAGACAACCTTGAGAAACTTCTAAAGGACGTTAAAAGGCTCGATCTTGTGAAACGTGTAAGAGCTTATAGACAGAGTGAATCACCAGGTAATGTGACAGCATTGGATTTTCTTCATTTTTCTTTGTAATTAGAATAATGCCGATATACAAATGGTTGATTTTTTAATATTATAAGATCAAGGACTCAATTCATTGATATAAGTGCCCCAAGATAAAACCAGTGTTATACGTCGATCAATTCGAAGCGTCAACGCGCCCTCCCCCTCTTGGGCATTTGAAATTTTGCAGATTGGTTTGTTCAAATTCCCGTCCCCAAACTGGGGCCAAAATTGTGTTCAAATGCCCTACCCAAATGCCAGATTTGATGGTGAACGTGTTTATTCCGCGGAGAAGACTTGACACTTCCCATCCCATCCAGACAAGATTAAAATTCTTCACCCCAGGGCAAGGATGACAGTCAAATTACCTGATGCTTGGGGAGGGGGATGTTGAAGCTCGAATTGATCAACTCTTAACGGTGAATACTGCACCACTGGCAGAGCAGAAACCTCTTTATAAGGGCTAGAAAACAACTACCATAGGACTGAGAGCTTCTGTTGTGATCCAGACATGTTCCTTTGGGAAATTTTCCATTCAGCAACATGTGAGTGTTACCCAAACTAGCAAGATTAGGTCCACCTCAAATGACTCCTCCAACTGCTCTGACCTTGAATAGGGGGGTAGCAAATGGTGGCAAGAATAAGAAAACTGTGGAGTTATAAAATTTCAAAAGCCATTGCCAGAAATTTTGCCATTGGTACGTCATCATAACTATGGTTAACTATGAACAGTGCAAACTTAGTCCATCACTGAATAAAGCAGAACAGTTCGTAAAGCTGAAAAGAGGGAATTCTCTGGTTAAAATTTAATGTAATGATAGTTGCTTGCTCTTCAATGGTTTAGTTAATTCTGAGCTCAGAGCCCAGGGATATTGAATACCCGTCTGTGGAATGAAGTGGCTGGTTTTTGTTGACCTGTGCATTAGATTTGAAATAGTGTAAATTTATTTATGGTTGTTAACACTAATCGACCAGTATTTCTGATCACGCCAATTGCACATTTAAATCAAAGTTTATTGTGATGTTGAGAAGCTCAGTCAAAGTGGAACAATCTGGAGAAAAAGGTGTTAAACAGCTAAACTCTATGAAGATAATCAGTGAACTGCAGTTCAATGTATCCCAGCCCCTGGAAACATGACCCCATTGTTTTGGGGGACAGCTAGCACTATTATATTTTAAATAAATGAAAAAAAGTTTTGAAGGATTCAAGGTACTGAGGGTGTGCTAAGTGCAGGAAATGCATGACAATTATATTAGATTCAGGGTAACATGATTGAATTAGATCTAGTCAGTTCAAGGTGCAAGTAGGAGAGGGTAAGAGAGGGTTGACAGGAGTCATTTGTTGTTGATGTACTAACAAAAAGTCCATTCTACCAAAGATAAATTTTATTTGTTACTTCTGCAGCTGTGGAGCTGGTCTGCTTCTCTTTTGGTATGCAAGCAGATGTCAATGTGCAGCAAAACCTTGTGCACAGCATGAATGCATTTCTGGGTTTTGATCCCTCAGAAATATACCTGGAAGGAAGTGAGTAAGTGGGAGTCAATTGGTGGAATTTAAATTTTAAAATCCCCAATAGGAAGGAAATGGTAGACAGCCTTCGATGGGCTGCCATTCACAAACTTCCTTGGCTTAACCATTGTGGGGTCAAAGCAGTGAGAATTGGCAATGAATCTCAAATTCTATTGCAGCCAATTACACGCTCACTCTCTTTAATCACTCCAGGTGAGTGCTTGTAACAGTGTGGATGTTAACTTATAAAAATGAACCCACAAAATAGTCATCACAATTAATTACTTAATATGTCAATTGAAAGTAAAAGATGATAAACTTTGGATATGAGGAAGTAATGATAATAGGGAAAAGTACCATAGATGCTCATGTTCATAAATCAAAGCAAAGTGTTGGGCTTTGACTTCAAGCATCTAACTGCAAAATTGGAACAGGCTGTGGTGTTTGAATCCTTTTGAGGATTAAAAAAATTTCAGTCAAGAATATATGTTTGCATAAGATATTTAATATGTAGTCTTACTGTAAGTTAGTAAATGATGTGAATCAACATTGACTCATTTTGAGTCAAGGTTAGAGTTAAATTTTTTCCAAGCAATATTCTTCTCAGCATAACAGGTATAGAGATGTATGGAGGGATATCAAAAATTCTCCTGTCGATTACTGTCGGTAAAATGTGTTTTTGAATAGGGTGACATTTTTGTAGCCCAAGTACAATTAGTCATTTAGATTTGTCGTTTTGATATTAACCCATTTCACTTTCAAGGTCCTATTATCAAT